TATATATATTATAAATTAATTTATTTAAGATATGTTTTTTTTCGCTACACAGTAATAACCACGTTTCAAAAATGGAAGCTAAAAGCTTCTAATTTAATTTTGTAATTAAATTAAAAACATTAGTTCCATTTCATCCATAAGCGAATTTTGGAGTAACTTACTTTTTAAACATTTTCTGAGTTTTAAAGGCACAGAAAATTCATAATTCACTGTTTCCAAGTTTATATATATATATATATTAGAGAGAGAGAAGAAGGGGGATTCATACCTTTCCCAAGGGAATTTAGTACCTCAATTTGAGTCTCTATCCACTACTGCACTGTGCCTCCTATATATATATATATATATATATATATATATATATATATATATATATATATATATATATATATATTATAAATTAATTTATTTAAGATATGTTTTTTTCGCTACACAGTAATAACCATGTTTCAAAATGGAAGCTAAAAGCTTCTAATTAATTTTGTAATTAAATTAAAAACATTAATTCCATTTCATCCACAAGCGAATTTTGGAGTAACTTATTTTTTTTAAAATTTACTGAGTTTTAAAGGCACAGAAAATTCATAATTCACTGTTTCCAAGTATACAGAGAGATCCAGTCATTCAGACAAGCGGTGGAAGCGTGTTCATTTCTATTAACTTTTGTTGTATCAGTTATTAGTTACGCTATATATATATATACATATATATATATATATATATATATATATATATATATATATATATATATATATATATATATATTAGAATACTACTGGATTTTACAAGTCTTCGCCCCTAATACATAGCTGGATCTGCATATCTTATTATGTGCAATCGGCGCCAACAGGACAAGAAATAAAGTTCTGTTTCGTTTATGAAGCCTCTTGTCAGTCTTCATTAGTCTTAATGCCGCGATGAGAACAGTACCCAGTCATTTCTCGTGACATTGTCGGCCCTTTTATAAAAGTAGACGTCACGTATTTGCCAGAAAACTCGACACAATCTTGTAATTTTATATGCGGAAATACGAATTTTAACATTTGTGAAACACCACACAATCGTTTTTTTTATTTTTATTTATTTATTTTTTGTATGTTTGTTTGCTTGTTTTTATAAGAAGTTACTCCAAAGATATTTTAGGCACCTCGGTGAAGCTGCATACATCAATATATTACATTTTCTTGGTTTATTTGACTGTTACTGCATTTCGTTCTTTCAAAGTGTCAAATATTGTTGCTGTCCCAAATGACCGGAAAGGGAGATAATTATTCAAAATACTGTCAGTAAACAAGTCAATGGGTCATAATGTACGCCAGGAGTCGGTCAACTTTTGCAATGTGCCGACTTAGGGTTTTAAAATCATCCAATGTGCCAACAGCGGACGTATTTTTATACAAGTCAAGGTCAATATACCTGATCTATAATATATTTTATATAGTATATATACTTTAGTATACAGGGTGTTTCAAAAAGAATACGCCAAAATCATCATGTGATATGTCAAAAACGAAAAAAATTACAAACCTCTAGCATGAACACATGTGTTGTATATACATTCAAGTTTCATTTCATGTTTTATAAGTGCTCAATGTGGCCACCACTGGCAGCGCGGACAACATCAAGCCGATATGAGAATTCCTCCCACACGCGCCTCAGCATGTCACGGTCCACCATGTTGATTGCAACTGTTATTCGATTTTTCAAGTCAACGATACTTGCTGGAAGTGCTGGAACATAAACTTGGTCTTTAACATACCCCCACAAGAAAAAGTCACAGACAGTGAGGTCCGGGGATCTTGCAGGCTAAGCACAGAGAGCAAGGTCTTTAGCACCTCTCCTCCCAATCCATCGCTGAGGCACGTTTTCATTCAGATAAACTCTAACCCCGAGATGCCAATGAGGTGGTGCTCCATCTTGTTGAAAATGAAGCCATTTGAATCTGCTTGCAGTAAAAATGATTAGCCAGTTTTGGAGCATTTCGAGAATGGTTTGTCCTGTAACGGTGTTTCCTTCAAAGAAAAAGGGACCATAGACCTTGTCTTGAGCCACAGCCCAGAAGACGTTCACTTTAGGGGAATCTCTTTCATGCTCAACAGTTTCATGTGGGTGCTCTGTACTCAAGCACGCAAAACGCCTTCTGCTGAGGAGTCGCCATTTTGATTGATCTTCTCACAATTCAGCTGCACCGGAAGTTATACTAACGATAGTGGTGAAACTGACACCTAATCAAACTTTGATAACTACTCTATCAAATAACCACTGATTCAGTCCACTACAATACTATAGACCTGAAAAAAACTGCATAATGATTTTGGCGTATTCTTTTTGAAACACCCTGTATATTAAAATTGAAACAGTTAAATATCATCTTTGCTTTGTAGTAGTTATTGGTTCGGATTTTGTGATGTTATTTGCTGGTGCGTGCCATTGGAAATTGCTTGGAGTGCTGTTGGTTGACGACTCCTGATATACACAGTTAATGATGTCAATAATATTTCGTTATTAATTACGAATTTCTGGGTGCAATTTCATCCAAGAAATTTTCATCACCCGTGTCTCACGTTGCTTAAGCAACGTCGACACTGGTCAGTGCCTAGATGGGTGACCACTTGGGAATACCAGGTGCTGTAAGTTTGATGAGCAGCTGCTGAAAATGGATGACAGATCGAAAGGAGAAATCGATCGAACGAGTTCAAAGTTTAGTCGAGTTCTTTTTTTTTTTTCTTTAGAGTACTGATCACCCCTTACAAGATCCGTGGGCAACTCGTGAGGGATCATTATGTTAAGAGGCAGTTTATAAGGATAGACGCCGACATAACAGTGAACCCTAGCTATAAACTGATTAAGATTGTAATAATCGGGGTAACATCCTCGTCCACAGAGCAGTGGTTTGCAAGATGAAGCTGTTTAGGTAGAACGGACTTCTCTCCAATGGAATACGGAGGGAATGTGGCTGGCATGGGACAATATAAGTGGCATAGCGGGCCCTAGCCGTGAAGGATAGACTTGGAGGCATCAAAGAATGTAATTAGACCGAGTACTTTCCATGATAGTAGCGATAGGTGGCTTGCCACATCACGCCTGTGAGAGAGAGGGTGAATAATTCATCACCCAAAAGGATGACAGCTTTAAACTCTGTCTAGCCTGGAAAGTGAGGAAAGGGCAGCTCCTACCTTAATATGACCACTATACTCTATTATCGGCCTCGTAAAAGTAAAGGGCAGCACGAGGAGTCAGGTAATTACGAGACCAGTACAGGGTACCGCCCATCTTTCCTGCATCGGTGCTCCTTTAGCGTAAGGTTACCTCAGTATACCCCTACCCTCACGTGGCCATCAGGTCAGGTGAGGTCTAATATAGATGTTATATCAGTCTCGCATTTTCTAAACACGTGAAACGGGAGGTAGACCTCACGCTATAATAGCAACTAAATATCATAATAGATAATAATACATTTTTTTTGCCTTCAATAGGAGTACATAGCTTCGCATATTTCTCTCATCCTCGGTCTTTTGAAACGGTTTATCTTTTGTCTCATGTTTAGGATCCAGTTACATCTAAAGTTTTCTCATTCTCTTTCACTTTCAGTAGCCCTTTACGTCTTAGTGGCATTATCGATTTGTTGGGGTTAATTGATGTGAGAAATTATAAGATTAAAGGTTAATTACATTTAAGCCTAACAATCACTCCGTCAGCTTTTAGAGGGATGGCTGGTAGGACTTAATATAGAATGATTCCAAAATTGTCAAGTGATACTTTGAATTCAGCCCTGAAAGCATGTCTGCGATGTAAGACCAGGCACACCGCCAGCTATAACTGTTTAGTATTTATCATTTCACCCACGAGAAACGAATATGGCACAAGGCCGGTTTTATTGTGGGTTTCTCCGAGCCCGTAGGCTCGGCTAAAAAAATAGCCTTTGAAGCCGATTAGACGGGTTCAGGCCCTGTCTACCTCCCCGGACGAAACCTTGCCCTATAACTGTTTATGTTACGTTTTCTCGCTTCATGTGAATTTTCTTCTTTTCCATTACCAATATTGGCTGGTACATGTTCGTTGACCCGTTCTGTCTACATAGACAATATCTAATATGAAGAGTAAGCAAGTGGGTGCTCCTATAGCGTGAGCATGTCCCTCCCCTCACGTGGACATCAGGTCAGGTGAGGTCTAACATGGATCAGCTCAGGTGACGTTTAACATGGATATTTATATCTGTCTCACATTCCCTAAACACGTGAAACGGGAGGTAGACCTCACGCTGTATTGAGGTAGACCTCACGCTATAGTATCACTGGCAAATGTTTATTTTTGTTTTCTTATGAATTGTTATGTATTTATTATGAACTAGAAGAACTAGATTTTTATTTTTTTTTTTTTTTGCAATACGCAGACGTATGTTGAAATCCTTATGCCACTGCCCTCTTCCAAACACCGGATATTGTAGTAGTCTACATAGGTTTGTCGAACGTAAGAGTGGTTCTATTACCTCGGCCCTCCCGGGAATTTATATTAATGATATTCCTCACGCTATAGTAGCACCCCGGCATCTTTGGCGATGGGTCGTATATAAGAGTTACACTTTAGGATCGGTTTACGTACAAATCACTTCCGGTGATTATGATATCGAAATGAGACATGATCGCCCAAGCGTATCGCATTCCCGGCTCTTCCAAGACACACTGGGCAATTTTGGTAAGGTCATGGTCCATTTCTCTCTATGAATCAGCGGGAAGGTTATCGTCCAACTCTAAGGACCAAGCCAAGCTGAGAAGTAGAGATTCTTTGCTCTCATCTCTTACTTTCTTTCTCTCAAGTTCTTTTTCCTTCCTCCTTTTTTTTAATATTTTTTATCAGTTTTTCCATCGCTCTCTCAAACTTCTTCTTCTTCTTCTTCTTCTTCTTCTTCTTCTTCTTTTTCTTCTTCTTCTTCTTCTTCTTCTTCTTCTTCTTCTTCTTCTTCTTCGTGCTCTCTCGCTCTCTCGCTCTCTTTCATTCAGCTTGCGGCCATACCCCGTATGTAATAACGATTCTTGTACGATCACCGAAGTTAAGTAACGTTGGGCCTGGCCAGTACCTAGAGTGGTGTCCGCTTGGGAATCCCAGGTGCTGTAAAAGTGGATGTGCGGCTGGTGTAATGGATATTGATTCGTAATTGTTAAAATCCTCGTTGAGTTTGTCATATTTCCTTACACGCAATTATTCTTGAGATAGTTATCGGTTAAACTCTTTTCCCCCAGCTATGGGCTACACAGTAAAATGTGTATCGCTAAACCATTATTATCTCGCAAAAAATGTTTTAAGCATTTCACCCCAAGCAAGGCGGAAAGCCACTAGCATGCAAGGTTACAGAGAGTTGGAGCGAGAGCAAATAGGAGTGATAGAGAAAATGATGAAGAGAAGGATAGAGGGCATCTGGAGACGTCGATTGATATTACATTTGAATAGTTGGAGATTATAGCTATCAGGGAAACAGGAAAAAAGGAGGTAGTTCCACAGGCGAGAAGTGCGAGACATGAAGCTGTTGGAATAGAAGAGACGGCGACATTTAACAGTTTCGACAGTGAAAGGGTGAGAGCGAGATGCCAGCCTAGTAAAACGCTTAAATTCATGAAGTCTGGGAACCAGCGAAAGCAGCTCCGAAAATAAAAAAGACAGAGGAAGGCAATGGCACGTCTGTGAGAAAGCGACTGCAGACGAGATAATCTAAAAAAAGTTTCTTGACTTTAAATAACCTGCAGAGGGTTGATAAACCGTAGAAAAAGAAACAATCAATCAATGAAATACTGATTACCTACGCAGGCATGTTTTTTAGATTTATTTACATTCTCTGGAATAGAAATATATAGAAAACACCGTGACCACAAACTGAGGGATCAGTTTATATCTTGGTTGTAATCTAGAATTGATCCCACACTTTATATCCGCATAATAATTTCTTGTTTGTTGATAAGCCGTAGTAAAAGAAACAATCAATCAATGAAATACTGATTACCTACGCAGGCATGTTTTTTTTTTAGATTTATTTACATTCTCTGGAATAGAAATGTATAGAAACTATCGTGGCCACAAAGTTAGGGGTTAGTTTATAACTTTATTGTAAAATAGAATTTTCCCCCACTTTATATCCACATGATAATTTCGTGTTTATCAAATTCTGAGGAGTTATGAATATACGTTTTTTTCCCTCAGATATGGGTTGATTAGTAAAATTTCTTCTAACCTAAAATATATATTCAGGCTTTAAACAACCGAAAAAGGTTGATAATCCATAAAAAGTGTATCAAGCAAGCCAACAAGTGAAGAACATATCAGAGGGTTCTCGATAAAAAATATCAAATAATTATTCCCAATAATTCGAAATTCCAAAATTGCCTCTCATTTGAAAAACCTCACTGTGTTCTATGTTTTTTTGTTTTGTTTTTTGTTTGTTTTTTGTTTTTTTGCGAGAAGAAAATTATAAACAGAAAGATATTCGGCAGAAAATAAATATACCATATACACTCGTGTAACACGTGATATCGGGTAGCGTGCGACACCCAAATTTTCACTTAGAAAATATAATTTTAGCATGTACCTCGTGAGTTCCTTTTTTGAGAGACCAAATTACAATAGACTAACCTCTTTTCCCCTATTTATTTATACCATCTTCTAGTTAAATAAATTAAAAAAGTAAAACAGAATGATAAAAGTATCGTTAGTAACGCTTTACTCGTTGCATAAACGCGTACAGCCATAAACAACCGAACGAGAAACAACTAAATATCTTATAAACATAAAAAATGGAAAAGATGCAGATTCGCCATGTTTGTATTTTATAATGCAATACTAATATGTATTGTAAAATAAGATACTAATATGTATTTTATATTACGCTACTAATATGTATTTTATAATACGATACTAATGTGTATTTTATAATACGATACTAATATGTATTTTATAATACGTTACTAATATGTATTTTATAATACGATACTAATTCGTATTTTATAATACGATACTAATGTGTAGTTTATAATACGATACTAATATGTATTTTATAATACGATACTAATATGTGAATATTACGTGCATTATTATTATACTAATATGTATTTTATAGTACATTACTAATATGTATTTTATAATACGATACTAATATGTGTTTTATAATACGATACTAATGTGTAGTTTATAATACGATATTAATATGTATTTTATAATACGATACTAATGTGTAGTTTATAATACGATACTAATGTGTAGTTTATAATATGACACTAATATGTATTTTTATAATACGATACTAATATGTATTTTATAATACGATACTAATATGTGAATATTACGTGCATTATTATTGGATACAGTTAAGTAAAACATCAGTCTTATAAGAATCATGTTTATTTTAAATACACCTATACATTTTGACTACAATAAATGCCTATATAATTTGTTCAATGGTATAACCAGGGTCAGCATTACATAGGCTAATGATGCGACCCCCTTAAAATTAGCTTCAAATTTAGGTCATCAAATGTCGCATGATACGCTTGTTAATGCGGTATCTATCTATCTATCTATCTATCTATCTATCTCAGCCTGTTCATTATCTATCTATCTATCTATCTCAGCCTGTTCATTATCTATCTATCTATCTATCTATCTATCTATCTATCTATCTATCTATCTATCTATCTCAGCCTGTTCATTATCTATCTATCTATCTATCTATCTATCTATCTATCTATCTCAGCCTGTTCATTATCTATCTATCTATCTATCTATCTATCTATCTATCTATCTATCTATCTATCTATCTCAGCCTGTTCATTATCTATCTATCTATCTATCTATCTATCTATCTATCTATCTATCTCAATGTGTTCCTTATCTATCTATCTATCTATCTATCTATCTATCTATCTATCTCATCCTGTTCATTATCTATCTATCTATCTATCTATCTATCTATCTATCTATCTATCTATCTCAGCCTGTTCCTTATCTATCTATCTATCTATCTATCTATCTATCTCAATGTGTTCCTTATCTATCTTGAAGCTAATTCGTCTACAGTAAATGGATATATAGTTTGATGAACGCCGGAGCCAGGGCCAGCAGTATATACGTTAATTTTATATCTCATGTATGATGCGACACTCTTAAAATTAGCTTCAAAATTAAGTCTTCAAAAATCGCATGATACGCGAATATATTCGGTATTACAAAATAAAAAAAAAACTATTTTTTTTTTATTCAATTTCGAAAAAGCGAAAATTAATGTTTAATAAAAGTGTCAGCAAGGGATGTGAAGCTGGTGAACGACAAGGAATTAAAAACCTAAGAGCCGAGTTCGAATTCTGGTCGAGTTCATTGCCTTTACTTTCGTGCAAATAACCTTAGGAAAATGGATTAAACAGTGGGGGTCGTATAAGAAAGAATTAGTGTTATTCTCTAAAACGTAAGTTAACGGAACATTTACGCGCAAAAAAAATATCGAAGAATTATTCTTCGAATCTTCGAATCCCAAATATGTTTTGGTGTTTAAATAATTCAAAAAGTGGTTGATAAACCGTAAAAAATAATTCAGCCCATCATGTGCGGACCAGGTGAATCATTATGTCCAGGACGGTGTTCATCGTTACGTGATCATAAAATGTCATGTGGGTGAGGTACTCTCTGATGCCAAAGAAAAGGAGGAGGTGTAATAAAGTGGGAGTGGAAATATGAAAGTGTTGTATCGAATATTTTTGAGATAACAGCCGGAAATAAATAGCGAAGACAAAGTCGTAAGTAACAAAATAGAAGGCTGGCTACACGAAGGTAGAATTCGCAATTAGTCTAATGCTTACTCTTCTCAACAGCGTTTATCTCCCCTTATTTAGCTAAATGGACGATTCCATTCATTTATGGCAAGAATGGCGGTGGGTGTAATAAACGAATGGTTTGAAAAATTATAAAATATACAGTAACATATTTTTTTTAAGCCTTGGCCGCTATATACGCGTATGGACACTGGGCAATAAATTGATCTTGTCTCACATTCCGAAAACGTCCTGGTCGTGAATAAATCCTCTAGAAAATGAAACAGTTCGGCTTTTTGATTGGGATTATTTCATACAAGGAATTCCAAGACCATTAATTAAATTGATCGGTAAAAGAATGGATCGCATTAGACTGAATACTCACGGGTACCAATTACTCAGCTAACACGGTACGTCATTTCAAATTTGAAGTCTCGTTGTATTTTTATTGGGAGATATGAATTTGTGGCGATGTGAAAGTCACGTTGGGATAGGTTATTTTCCTGACCCAAATTCCTACACGTGGTCAGAACAGCAGGGTCGCGTTGCGAAGTGTTGTAGCTAAAAAGGAAACTCTGCATTGGTCAGTTATAAGATTGGGCTTCATTGAACAATATGGATAAAAGGCTTAACATTTTCTTGTCGTATTGTTTTTAAATTTGGAATGGCTATATTCGAAGATGAATGCAACTTCTTATATATTCCTGCAATATAATATCCACTTTTTTAATGCAACGTTACAAGCGACGTATATGTATATATATATATATATATATATATATATATATATGTGTGTGTGTGTGTGTGTGTATATTTGCATTAAAAATGTGGATATTATATATATATAGAGAGAGAGATATGTGTGTGTGTATATATATATATATATATATATAGAGAGAGAGAGAGAGAGAGAAAGATAGATAGATAAAGACAGACAGAAAGATAGAGATATGAACAGACTGGAATAAATTGATCGATAGCTAGATAGGAAAAAAAACTGAGATAGGTAGATAAATAAGAACAGATTAAGATATATAGGTAAATAGGAACATACTGTAACAAATAAATAGAAACACACTGAAATTACACACACACACACACACACACACACACATATATATATATATATATATATATATATATATATATATATATATATATATATATACTTAAATAGATTGATATAGATAGATAGTAATAGATTGAGTTATATAGATGAATAGATGGATAGGAACAGACTCCGGGAGACTGCGATAGAGATAGATAGATAGGAACAATACAGACACACACACACACACACACACACAGACACACATATATATATAT